ATGAAAACAGAATCCCATTTCATATCTCCATAGGAAAAACCTAGCAATGAGAAGCATTTGCAAAAGTACCAAAACAGTGTCCCTGGAACTTACTGTATAACACATTCTGTTCTCTAGGTTTACTTGCGAATGAGGACACCACGAATACCTGTCTCTGCTCTTCAGTTACTGAATGTTACTTCCTCCCCTGAAATTTTGTTCAGACCCATCATCTGATGACAGCATTACAAAATATTGAGAGTAAATAAACAATTACAGAACAAAAAACACACAGAGAGATTTACCAATGTATCTGCAGTACGGAATGAAGGGAGAGAGCACTAAACAGGCTGAAATGCTTCATCTCTCTTAGCTGAGATATGAAAACTGTGGTTTTATGTATTTTGTGTAGTTTACTTTTTTTTTCAGGAACACGCTTCAGCTTTCCACCATGAAATGAAACAGGACAACATATTGAAATGTACACATATGGTTGGCAGCATCTAACAAACTCATCACTAGGTTAGCTCATGGTTCATGTCCTCCCACTGATCTACAAGCCAGCAAAAAGTATAAGAAAATATGTTGTACAACAGCAAAGAACAATCAAGAAGACCTAGCTGGTTTAGAATCTCCCTTATCTTGATAGATGTGGTCTGTGACTGAGTTCCTCATTGAGCTGAGTCTGCACAGGAAGAATTCAGGTCAGACACCAGGGAAAGACAAGGAGGCAATTTATCCTTTTCCCCTGCCTCAGACACACAATTTGTGTGTTTTTACAAGTGAGGGGAAGAGTCACTTCCTTTATTTTTGGAGGGGGGTAGAGTAGAAGAAAGAAAGTGACAAAATAATGAGTGGGAAGCAAGTTTCCAAATTAAATTCCCCATGGCCATATCTGTGCATACTTTATCAACATACAGGAACAGATGCCAGACACATTTATGCTCCTCTTTTATGTACATTGTTAAGCCTGACTGGTGGCCTGCCATAGGGCCAATGCAAAAGCGCTTTCCTGACAGGCAGAAAGTGTTGGCTAAAGTTCTCTATAACAGTTAAAACTGGAAATATGACAATCTCTGAACAGTAGTACAGTGGTACCTCAGGTTACATATGCTTCAGGTTACATACGCTTCAGGTTACAGACTCCGCTAACCCAGAAATAGTGCTCCAGGTTAAGAATTTTGCTTCAGGATGAGAACAAAAATTGTGCTCCGGCAGCGTGGCAGCAGCAGCAGCAGGAGGCCCCATTAGCTAAAGTGGTGCTTCAGGTTAAGAACAGTTTCAGGTTAAGTACGGACCTCCGGAATGAATTAAGTACTTAACCCGAGGTACCACTGTACTTACATAGCTTTAGAAGGCGTAGTATGATTCCAGATAAACCATTTATTTTCTGCTTAAATTGTAATGTAAAGGTAAAACTGCTGACCTTCTGATCAGCAAGCCCAAGAGGCTCACTGGTTTAGACCACAGCACCACCCGCGTCCCTTTTAAATTCTAGTGGTTTCAAGTACGGTATCCCAAGGTATCTGTGCAACAGAATTTCCCTTCACTGTCTCTTCTCCCGGCACACCCCTGAACCCTGCCCCAAATCTGCTCCAGAGGGTTAGGAGAACCCCCAAAAGAGACTAACAGGGTGCAGGAGTTAAAGAAAGGGAGGGGAAGTTTCACTGCAAGCCATAACTCTTCACAGTAATGGAATTTCTCTGTTGGATACTGCCCATGATATTTAAATTATGAGTATTTTTACAGGCGGATATTATAATCCAACCATAACAATGCTGCAAAATGTCATGAACCAAATCAGATTCTGTTCAAGCTCTATGAAAAAAATACATTTTGATAGGCATAATGAACATTCTTATTATTATGAACTACTATAGCTGATAGCTAACCTGGCATTTCTGAGATTCCAATTGATATATACAGACAAATTGGGTCAATGCTACTAAAGAACAAACTGTGAGGTTCGTTTTGCTTAGGGTGCCACTACTTTGTGGGAGGGATTCAAATGCAAACTGGAAATTTAGGTTTCTACAATTAAAGTGAAGTAGAACATGCTGTTGTCCTGGCACAACAATCTACTTTATTAAAAAATAAATAAAACTTTTTTGAAGTTAGGACAGTGATGGGGAAATGCATAGAAAAGGATGGGATAAATGAATGATTAACCAGAATATATACATAAACACCCTGCAAGCAAATCAGGATGGATGTTCATTGTTGTATAACCATCCTGCAAGCAAAGTAGAACAAATGTTCAATAAAGATCAGTCATGCTCTAACCTCCATGTAAGTTTTTTTGAATGAAATCAGGAAGAAAACACAATAAAGAGGTCATCTGGAGGAGCCATTAGCTGTCTTACTGTTAAATGTCAAAACATCCTGTTGTATTTTTAGAGTATAAGGAGTGGTGGGACGTGGGTGGCACTGTGGTCTGAACCACTGAGCCTAGGGCTTGCCGATCAGAAGGTCAGCAGTTAGAATCCCCGTGACGGGGTGAGCTCTCATTGCACGGTCTCAGCTCCTACCAACCTAGCAGTTCGAAAGCACGTCAAAGTGCAAGTAGTTAAATAGGTACCACTCCAGCAGGAAAGTAAACGCCGTTTCTGTGCGCTGCTCTGGTTTCACCAGAAGCGGCTTAGTTATGCTGGCCACATGACCAGGAAAAACTGCGGACAAACGTCGGCTCCCTCGGCCAGTAAAGCAAGATGAGCGCCACAACCCCAGAGTTGTTCGCAACTGGACTTAACTGTCAGGGGTCCTTTACCTTTACCTTTTTATAAGGAGAGGTAGACATCAAGCATGCAAAATTTCATCAGTATAATTACTTTCCCAATAACAGTGTCCATTAGTGGCCAGGGCAAACTACTGGTTCACTAGTAAATTTGCATGCATGAGGAACTCCGACAGGTAGCTTGATGGGAGGGTGAGAAAGCACACTCTGTAAAGGATAAATGATTCTTATCCAGGATGGTTAAATGCTTCCTCCAATATCAGAAGATAAACAAGATGCTGTACAAGACAGAGCTTTGGTTTGAGACAGCAGAACTCAACTTAAATTCTGACAGCAGGCACTCTGGTCTGTGAATCTCAGCTATTTGCAGTGAAGGAATTAAATGAAAAAGCTACATCGAGCAGGATGTAAATGCACATTAACAACATGTACAAGTGTTCCTGAGTTTAATTGTTCTGGTTGTCACATATGAGACCATCCTTCAATATAATGCAGAACCGCTAGTCTAATTTCAGCTCCCACACCTTTCACCCTTCCAATAATTATGCATTCTTCCTAAAATGCCATCCCATCAGCATCTACTTCACTTCCTTTGTTGCGTGACCTCCACAAGTCGAGTCAGTCAACTGTTATGCTAAACTTTTAAACTGAAATTACTATAGGCTCCCCCAAATGCAAAAGTTATTAGCAGGGCAGCAATTATGGAATGAAGAAAATGCAGTGCAATGGTCACTGCATTTCTATTACACTGCAGAGATGAGCCAACAAAACAAAACAAAATTGCCTCATTTGTATTGCATTCATATTAAAAATGTAGGCTGGATTTTATTCCAATGCAAGCAGACTCTTATAAAACATCTTGTAGACCTCAAATTTAAAAGGCTCCATTATGTACTAACAGAACTGAAATTGTATCTATAACTTTAACTTCTTCCTTGGCATTAGGCTTGCCAGAATAAACTGAATATAAAAGCTCTGCCTCACATTCTGTATGAAATGCTCCTGTATGTGTGTTTTCTACATAGAAAAAAGGGGTCTTGCCACCTCTAACAGTTATTGTTAGATTAATCATTTCTTTGTGCTCACAGTGGGGGAACTTAAAGATCACTTAAAAATACCACCTTATGTCTCTCACCCCTATGGATATGCACTAAAATGTGCATGGGCTTAAAATGCAATCGAAGTGCAGGATCATGTCTATAATTGAACTCCATTGTCCACAGAGCACACATCTCTTAACAGAGCAGTTGGAATGGATACAGCACTTCCAGAACCAAGTTGGGGGAAATGAACTAAGCAGAAAGGCACAAATCAATGTTCAAGACTTAAGCAAAACCTAACCGGTAACTCCATATGCATTTATCAACGTGAGATGAATTTATTATAATTCTTGAAGGCATTTTAATGAGCAACATTGTATTCATGGTGAAGTATATATGAAGAGGGGTTAGTTGTATGAGTTAAAGACACACATCTTTTTAAAAATATAGCTCCTCAGTTGGAAAGTACTTAAGTTCTGCATCACATACATGCTTGGATTTCATGGGTACTTCTCAAACCAGTATCAGAGAATAGCAACCCTACTGTAAAAATCTGCACATAAATTAGGCCTCAGAAATGGACCTGACTGAGAAGTTCAGTCACTGTAAAATTGTCACGGGCTCTCATTTTCTGAATTTTCAGCACCCATTAGTTTTGTGTTGTATTGCCCTGTGACTTCAAAAGCCCCCAAGACTTCTCACAATCACATGAAACAAATTTTTTAAAAAATTATCAAAATAAACATTAATATTTGTCCCGACAGACAAAAAGAGTGAAAAGCAGAATCAAAACAGCAGTGACAAACAAGATAGAAGCCAGGATCTTAAAATAATACAAAAGCTTTAGACAACAAGGCAAGATAGAATGGTAACTCAAAGATTAGGCTTCTAACAGCAAGCTATACACATGCAGCCTCTGCAGTGGTTACATATTTCTCCATTAAAACCTGGAACTGCATTACTTTATCACAGTTTTATTCACCTCTTCAAACCAAGGTCATAGGAATCTTGGTTACAACAGTGTCAAAAGCCACGCTTGATCTATATTCCAAGGCTTCTCAGAAAAGACACAGAGAAAACTGGGCGTAGCTGAGACACATATCCAGGGGAAGAGAGTTTTGTCAGATTAAGTTTTCCTACCATTGCTTCACAATACACCGTGCAGAATTTTATCAGCGCTCCAGCTGAATTTACTTCAAAATATGCAGCTGGCTAGAGTCTTCAAGGCATTGTCCAAACGCGCTTACCTTTGAAGAAGCAGTCTTCGTTGTGAACGATGGTAATCTTTTGCTTTTTCAGGCAGGCAGCTCGGTGTACTTCACAGTGGTTTTCATAGAATTCACCATCTGAGCCACACACAGGCTTGAAGTGAGGCTTGCAGTGCTCCATGCAGACACACTCTGCTTGCCCTGTTCCTCTGTTAACAACACAGTGCCTACCCAAACCACAGTACTTGTTTTCACACGATCCAAGGTGAGCATCATGATTCACGTATCCTGAAGAGAAAAATAAGAAAATGCCATCAGATTGTATGTCATCAGCACCTGAGGGTTACTGTCATACACAGAGTGGCTCAGAAATAATAAAAAACAATGAAGAAACAAATTCTGGAAACTGGCATAGTCTACTCCATATCCATCTATTACTACACAAGAATAAGGGGGCAGAAATAGAAAAGGGTGGTGTATACTGGGGTGGTCATCAACTAACCTTTACTCAGAGTAGACCCATTGAAATGAATATTAGTTATATCCATTAATTTCAATAATGTCTATCAGAGTAAAAGTTAGTCGAATGCCACCCCTGGAATTTGCAAGAAATTGTTTTGGAAAGCAAACTTACTCAGCGTGATAATTTCAGCAATTTTCCTGTCAATGAAAATTGCTTTTGGACAATTCAAGTACTCAGGAGTCAGGGGAAATTTTTTTGGGTGGGGGAAGACGAAGGTATATGTCCTAAGTGGAAGGGAGAAAAAGGACCCAGCCATGGTACATGAAAATCTGTTTTAAGATTCAGTTAATGACATTTAATGGTGTTGTTGATTAGCGGTGGCTTGTTCCTATTGAGCATGGTGGGGTGGAGCCCAAACAGCAGGCAGAGCCTGAGCCAATGACAAACAGAATTAACTGACTCTAATTTTGTCCCTATCCTTCTTTCCATTGAGACTAAGGAGGCAGGGCCACCACCACTTGGACTGGATGTAAATGAGAACAAAGGCCAAAGTCCATTCATTTCATTGGAGTAGCATATATACAGTAACTGGATGCAGGGCTGGAGTCTTAAATATGTATCGGGACCTACACAAGGAAATAATTCATATCGCATCAGACCACTGAAGAGAGGTTCTTCACATGCTTCATTTAATGGATCAAAGTCCTGCAAAAGCAGTTCTGTTCTCCTTTCCTGCTACTCAAGCATTCTTCATTGGAAATTCCAAAGAGTGTTACCCAAACCAAACAAGCCACAACTGAGTGAAATTCTTTAGGACTGTCATGTTCTCAGATTTTAGGTGCTGTCTCGGAAATTGGGTTTTAACATCCTGAGGGGCAGTGCCAAGTTGTGCACCTTCCAAGAAGGGATCATCCTAGGATTCAGTCTCCAAACCTCACAGGCTCTTTCCCCGGTCCTCACGCATGCATCATAACATTTTTTTAAGTTCAACCATTGGAAACACAACACCATCTATACCAATAAAAGTTATATGTGCATCTCATTTAAAGTATCGGCAGTTCTTGTAACTCAGGATCCCTCCAGAAGCCCTTCTTTTTATTGTGCGTTCTTGATCATTTGTACTCAGGGGCATTTGTACAATCCTGCTTTCACTACTGTTCATACCTGCAAAAAAAGGGGGGGCTAATATGCTGTTTTGTTTCCAATCATTGCTTACCCATAGCATCCTACTGAAATGTTGTAGCTTTTCATGTTTGGGGATAGGGGTGTCCTGCTTTTGTTGTGCTATAGTGCAAGGGTGTTGCTTGAGATGACAATAATGTGGTAACATTGGGAAAGCATTGTAGAACAATATGTGGATGGTTCAGTATAAATGCATTGCTAGTTCACTATTATTGCATGAATGACACGTGGTAGAAAAAAATAAGAACCAAGGGGACCTCATTCTGCTGAGGAGTGTGTGTGTTTGTGTTTGTAGAATTGGTTGTCATGCAATCTATTAAACTCTTTGAGACTTCTGAATTCTGGCCTACATACTATTTTATTCTAGGTTAATTAGCTCAGATTAGTTAAGGTAAAGTAGTCGGCCTATATTGACTCCTACATCAGCATACTTACAGGGGATTAAAAGCCTTCTGCTGTGTTCAGTTTAGCCCTCATTCCCAGAAAGTCAATCTTAGTTAGGAAAAAGAACTTTGACCTGCTCAAACAAGAGCTGAGATCCAGGGGGTCTCGTTCTGCATGTGCAACACATTCATATGCACACTAGGTTTTCTGTATTATTCTCCCTTACTATAGCTCTCTATGCGGCTCATTTGTGCAAGCTGATAAATAGTTTAAATCCAGCAACAAACCCTGGGAGTTTTGAAAGTCTCTTATTTGCCATACTATTTTTTTTTAGTGGCACCGATGGGGAGACTAAATTACTAGAAACTCTGCGTGGGAGAGAGGCGGGAGGAGAGAGAGAGAGAGAGAGAGAGAGAGAGAGAGAGAGAGAGAGAGAGAGTCTATCTACAGAACAGATCAGTATGGATTAATGAATCCTCAAAATAACATCACCAAGGAGAGGGCTAAGAGAGACCTAGTGGAATTATATACTGCAGATTGCATAGCATGACACAAGTAAATATGATGATATACTGCAGATGCAGTTATTCTATTCAGTGTACTGTAACCATAAATTCTATTTGCACTCGCTTAAAAAAAAAAAAGTAAAGCACAATCAATTATTTCAAGAGGTATGAAAAACGCAAAAGCATATCTTCAAATTCCCCGGGAATATTTTGTTATATGGCTATATTTCTATTTGATTTTCCTGAGCAGCTAAATTCTTCAACACATGACACATACTCATTGGTAAGGAATACTATAAGCATGTATGAGGTAACTAGAGATGTGGGCAATCAGGACATACACTCACAATGTTTGATTCACACCCCCACATCCCTGGCGCAACTCAGATGATGCAAACTAAGAATCTGTCAGTATTTGTTATGTATTCAGTGGTCTGTGTTTGCCTGAGCTTGAGTCTGGACTAACGATTCTGAGCTCCTGTGTTCTGATTCGATACAAGATATCCAATCACAGAACATTTCAGGATGTGGGCCTCTGCCATTGGCCCTTAAACTCTGAGTCATGATTTGCTGCTTAGAAGTTTAGACAGCCAATCACGTTGGGAGTAGGAGTGGGAGTGGCCCAGGCTTTCAGAAATGTATATAAGCAGTTGCTTTGCCTCTGTTAGTTCAATAAAGGTCCTTGCTGTTATCACTGTGTCTTGCCTCGTGGGAACCTACCTACACTTAAGTATTCATGTACACATATTGCTTTACAACAATTTATCTTGTAGGCACAGTGCATGCTCAAATACTTCCTCACCATGTGTAACTCACTTCCATAAACATTGAGATAGCAGACATAAAAAAATTGGGAGAAAACTGATTTTCAACTGTAACTACAAAAACAGAGAGAAACTGCTGTGGATTTCTTATTTGCTAACTTGAGTAGTTTTTCTATCGCATACTTTCAGCAGCACATCCATATTAATTATGCCAGAGTTGTTATATTCCATATAACTGTATGCTCAAATGTATTTCTCCTAAAACAAATGAGTATATATCTAGATTTTAATGGACAGTGCACGTCAAGGAAGCTCTACAGAGACACATTAACCATTTTGTCCAAGCCCATAGGGGGTTTGGCCACATCATCAGCCTGACAAAGATCAACATGCAGGTTCAGGATTGTGCCAGCCCTCCACACATCAGCATTGATGACTACACACTTAAGGTATACACTGAATCAGGAAGGTTTTGGGCATCACATGGCAGAACAGAGTCTCAAACAATGGTGTGCTTTCCCAGACCACATTCCCAGCATGTTTGCACTCCTTTCTCAGTGATTTCCTATGCTAGCTTGGTCATCTACATCTATTGCTGCTAGTAATGTTGACAAGCAAACATCTTCAACAGATGCCACTGGCTGCATTCAGTGTCATCTGGTGTAGTGATTGACTCCTTCAAGATTCATTTTCAAAATTCATCATCATCATCTATATTATCATGCTGTACGGAAAATGAATGACTTTTCGTACTCCAGGAGAAGACACAATTGGGTCTCCCCTGGATTTCTGAGAACTGCTTTTCTTTACCATCCACTATAAGCTTCTTCATCAAAGCCGTACAATGAGTTTGCACAAGCTATCAAATCAAGACAGTTCTCCCACCTGCCCATTAGCAGGAGGTCTATCAGCTCTGTACTGTGGAAGAGCATGCTGAAACATGCCAACAAATAGCAGCAGTCATTCCATTGAAAAAAAACAAACATTGATGCTTTTGGGTGGCCATCAAACAGCTGAGCAGTGACATAGCCTTATATGCACAAAATGCTTGCAGTACAATAACCAATACAGACAAGCAACAATTAAAACTGTAAACCAGCCATTAGTCAGTGGTTAATAGAGTAGTTCATACAACATGCAAATACACCTTCTAAGTGCCTTTGCTGCAATTAGACAAAGTGTAACTCGTTTGTACAATATTCAGAAAGGTCATTGTACTATTCAAAGAAACAGAAGGATCATATCCATTCTGATATTAATTTTCTATGACTAATGGTAAACAACGTCCAGGCAGATTAAATCAATTTTATCTAGTAATCATGGTCACACATACATTCACTTGCACTATACACTAGATAATTCACAATCGGCAGCTTACATAAACTGGATATAATTTAATCGTGGAACAATATGTCTTTACATATTGCATAACAATATGCAGGGCACACATGGTTTGAATTCTGTTTTACTGGCTGTGGATAGACTTAATAAGAATGCCTACTAACATTGCAAAGGTAAGAAATGTATAGCCAGCCTGCAAAACCATGTCCTGTAGGTGACTGTCTCCACCGTTCACCTGATGCCATGTCCACTTACACATTGGAACATGTAGCTGATGCCAGTTTCTCACTTTGCATTACCTATACCATACCCATTGCAACATTAGTCTGTTACAAAGCATAATATGCAGCCTTCCAGTGTTCTGTCAAATGAAGAGATGAGTTTTGAAGGACACAAGGGTCATGAAGGCTTTCCAACTATTGTGCTTATTGGAGGAATGAGCTTCATATGTCTTTCCAACATCCCTGTGATATGGGCTTTTATAGTAACAAATGAGCATGAGTCCTTTTTGAAACAGTATTTCCAATAGTATTTCCACCACAGGAACTGAGTTGCACCCAACATTGGGGGGCTGACATCACTGTTGATTCGGGAGAGACTGACCAGGCCTGGTTTGACATCCCATCAGGCCACGCCATGTCAGGACGA